TTCAAGACTTGAGTACCTGTCCTTTTTTTTATTATTAGAAAGTTTCTCATATTTTGTTTGTCTCATGTTTCCTAATTGTTAGATTCACATTATGCATTCTTGGCCAGAACTTACTTTTCCACCTAATTTATTAAGTTTATTCTTTTCTAAATTAGGAAATTAACACTGGTGCAATAATATTATCTAAATACAAAGTCCATCAATTATTCCAAAAATGTCTTTATAGTAAGAGAATCCTGGCTGATATGTTACATGTGGTCTCCTTTTATCTGAAACAGTTTTTCGATATATTTTTTATCCTCACCCGAGGAAGGTTTTTTAATCAATTTTAGAGAGAGAGAAATGGCGAGGGAGGCATTGATGTGAGAGAGAAACATCAATCAGTTGCCTCTCCTACATGCCCCGACCAAGGATCAAACCTGAAACCTAGGTATGTGCCCTGATCAGGAATCGAACCCGCCACATTTTGGTGTACAGGACGATGCTCCAACCAACTGAGTCACTTGGTCAGGGCTCAGTCTTTCTTTATATGTTTCATGGCTTTGACATTTTGGAAGAGTACGAACCAGTCATTACTAGAATGTCCTTTAGTTTTGGTTTGTTTGAAGTTTCCTCGTGGTTAGATTCCGGTTCTGTACTTTCGACAACAATGTTACACAAGGGACATTGTGTTCTTCTCGGTGCATCCTATTCAGAGGCACATGCAGTTTGTCCCACTGCTAGCAGTGTTAACTTTGATCACTTGCTAAGGCCCTGTCTGCCAGGTGTGTCCAGGGTGGTTACTATCTCCCCCCTTTTAGACAGTGACTATCTCGTGGAGTGATATTTTTAGTTAATGCCCTGTTATTCCTCAAACTTACTGGCCTTAGAATCCCTGGGTGATTCTTGCCTGACTCAATTATTCTTATAATAGTTTCCCAGTGGTGATGTAAAATTCCATCATTTCCTCTTTTTTTTTGTTGTTGGCTTTCTTCCACAAAGAGGAATGAACATTCCCTTATTTCTTTCTTATTTATTTGTGTCAGTGTAGACACATAGATTCTTACTTATTTCTTATTTTATTATCATTACTTACTTTTAATATTCAAATTGTCCTAGATTTAGACAGTGGGAGCCCCTTCAAGCTGGCTCTGGTGTCTTTTTGACACATCCTCACTTCCTGGCACAGAACGATCCTCCTTGTGTCCTCTCTGCCTCAGCCCTGGAAGCGGCCGTTCTCCAAGGAGCTGTGCTAAGAGAGTCACCGAGAGTGACTTTTCATACGGTTTAATTGTTATGGATCTGATACGTGAGAATTAGCATCGCCATGTAGTTTTAATTTGTATATCTTTTATAGTGTAATAGAACATCTTTTCATATATTTAAAGGACATAAGCGTGTAAGTATGTATACGTGTATGTGTATTCATGTCCTCTGCCCATTTTTCTGTCAGTTTATTAGTCTTTATTTCCTCAATTTTAGGAGTTCTTTATGTATTATGGATATTAGCCCTTTCTGTGCTGAGGCAAATATTCTCTCCCATTTTATCAATTGGCTTTTGATAACGATGGTATTTTATTGTTGTTGTTAATCCTCACCTGAGGATATTTTTTCCATTGATTTTTATAGATTAGATGGGAGGGAGGAGGGAGAGAGAGAAGCGTCAATGTGAGAGAGACACATCGATTGGTTGCCTCCTGCATGCTTTCTGACCAGGGCCAGGGATTGAACCTGCAACCCAGACAGGTGCCCTTGACCGGGAATTGAACCTGAGACCCTTCAGTGCACAGGCCAATGCTCTAACCACTTAGACACTCTGGCCAGGACTATTCTTTTTTTTTGGCCATGTAAAAAATATTACTAAAAATTTGATATAATCAGGTTGTCAGATTCTTTTTATTCTTCCTGATTTTGAGACATAGCATGCATACCTTTCCTTATGTCAAGGTTAGAGAAAAAGTCACCATTTCCCCCTCTAGTACTCATGTGGCTTCATTGTTTTACATTTAGATCATTTGGTATCTGTTCTTATAAATGGTATAAAGTATGGATCTCATTTTATCTTTTTCAAAATGGCTAACCGATTATTTTAACTGTTTATTAAAAAGTCAGTTTTGGCTTTCTGGCTGTGCTGACCTCCCCAGGACAGCGTGCCTCTCGCCAAGAATCCCCTTCATCCCTCTTTAGAAGAGGAGAAGTGGAAACAAGAGGAAGCGCCTGGTACAGAGCCCAGTTCCTGCTTCCTGGATGCGAAACGCCCAGGATGCTGTAAAATCACCGCCGTCTTCAGCCGTGCACAGGTGGTGGTTCTGTGTGGTGGCTGCTCCGCTGTCCTCTGTCAGCCTTGCTTCCTCCTGGAGGCTCCTTCAGAAGGAAGCAGAACCAGCAGCACCAGAAGCAGGAGGAGGGGCAACCATCCCAGTAAACACATCTGGATACAAAAGAAGTCAGTTTTGCCCCAGCGATTTCTAGATATCGTCTTTACCATATGTGCACTGAAGTACCATCTGCATTGGGGTCTGGTTTTGAACTTTTGGTATTGCTCCACTGGTTTGTCTGCTGACCAGTAGCACACTTCTCATTATCAAAGCTTTGAAGTATAATTTGATGTCTGGAAAGACTAATCCTCTGCTCTGGCGTTTAGTGTTTTCCTGGCTGTTTGTGCACATGTATTTTGGGGAGGTTCAGTATCAGCTGTTTTGCGTTATTAAAAAGAATTATTGGTATAGTTATGGAAATTGCATTAAATTTATACATTTTTAAAAAACTTTCACCTGAGCATTATGCTGAGAGAGAGAAGGGGGAGAGAGAGAAACATCAATCATGCGCTCTACATGCGCCCCAGCCGGGGATTGAACCTGAAACCCAGGCATGTGCCCTGACTGGGAATCAAAATGGCAATCGGTGTACCAGTTGACACCCAGCCACCTGAGTTACTCCTGCTGGGCTACATTTGTACATTTTTTTGATGTTGACTTGTTCTATACCAAAGTAAGAAATATCTTTCCATGTTCAGGTCTTCATTTGTGCCTTTTAAGGAATGTTTTAAAGTTTTTCTCAGATGGGTTTTACATAATTGTTGTTAAATATTTTCTTTTCTTTGTGAAACTTGCATTTATCATTTATTATCTCATGGAGATCTGACCAGGTCAATGCATGGCTGTCTATTGTACCTTAATTTAATTTTTTTCTACTGATGTATTTCATGTTGCTTTTGACTTAACCCTATTATAAACAATACTGTGAAGAAAATCCTGTACCTGTATTTGTGCGTACTTGTGTTACTATATCTGTAAAGTAGGTTCCTGGAAGTGGAGTTGCTTACTCATAGACCATGTATATTTTTTTGGTAATATGTTCTACTAAATTATTCTCTCAAACTATTTGCCACTTTTAAAAGTGAAGTAAACTTGCCCTGGCCGGTTTTGCTTAGTGGTTAGAACATTGGCCCGAGGACCAAAGGGTCGCGGGTTCAATTCTGGTCAAAGGCACATATCTCGGTTGCGGATTGGTCCCCTGCCCTGGTCAGGGTTGTGTGGGAGGCAACCAATTGATGTGTCTCTTTGCATCGATGTTTCTTTCTCTCTCTCTTTCCCTCCCACTCTGTCTGAAAATAAGTGGAAAAGTATATCTGGTGAGGATTTAAAAAAAAAAAGTCAAATAAACTGTATTGTGTATGCTCATTGTTAAAAGACATTCAGAACTTTTTTTGAAAGGTCATGACAGTTAATTTTAAACAAGTTTATGTCTATTTGTCCATTAATATGGGGATTATAAAGAGAGCAAAACCATGATTTATACATTATATAATTCAAATACATGTTTTGGAAATCAGATACATGTTTATATGCATTAAAAAATAGAAAAGTTTCATTGGTAAGTAGATTTTGAATTTAGACTAAAAGAAAGTATTGACTATAGTTTAGAAGAGAGAATCAGGATATTTCTTGTGAGATTAGCATAGGCTAACGTCGAGGCAGAGCCCTGGCCGGTTTGGCTCAGCGGTGGAGTGTCGACCCACGGACCAGTGAGTCATGGGTTCGGTTCCAGCCAAGGGCATGTACCTCGGTTGCGGTTCATCCCTGGCCCTGGTCAAGGTTGTGCAGGAGGCAAACCGTCGATGTGTCCCTCTCAGGTGGATGTTTAAAAACAAACAAACAAAACTACCACAGTGTCTGTGTGCTGAAGAAAAGGGGCGATGGTGTGATTTTGAAAGGAAAAAATCATGGTGTCTAGCAGAAGATTAATCTGGTAGCAGTTTCAAAGATGAACTGAAGAAAGGGAGGAGTGGGAGTTAGAGCCGAGTGAAGTAACCCAGCAGCAAAGTAGTGATGGGGGTAGTGGAAGGAGACGAGAGAGACAGGTAGAACCCACAGGGTGCAGCAGACAGAGAGGGGAAAATGAGAGTAGAAAGTGGTCTCAGGCTTCCAGATCTAAAGAACAATCAGGCATGTAATGACTGGAAAGAGAAACCGGGTTTGAGGGGATAAGGGCGTTTGTTTGGTTTCAGACATTTAAGGGGAATTTCCCAAGTAGCTGAAACTGTGGAACTAGGGCCCATGTTGAAATGTCTAGCCAAAGAAGGACAGTTCACATTTGTCATCCAAAAGCGATGGTTGACTTCTTCAGGGGGTGAGCATGCAGAGAGGCCAGAGCACGGGGGACCAAGCCTTTGGGGGAAGCCGTGGTTTGGAGGGTTAGGAGCAGGAGCTGGATCTGCAGCCCTGGAGAGAGAGAAGAGCCCGCTGGGTTCCCGTCAGGAAGGAGAAGGCGGAGTGATCGAGAGCCTCAGGTGTTACAAAATCTGGAGAGAATGAGGTTTGAAACGAATGCATTTAATGCCTGTAAGATTATTAGAGGTGACAGCAGTTGAAGTGGAGTAGAACAATTTTGGAAATTGGATTACAACATTTAATTTGATGATTCACTTTCTAAAAAGTGCTCAAGGTGGGAGGATGAGTGGCTGGCACGCCTTTCATCACTTCGGTTTTGAGGTCTTACACCCATCTTCTTCCTTTCAGCACCGCCGAGCCTCCCTGGAATGCTGCTGCTACTCAGCTCTTGGATCGAGGGGTGAATAGGATTTTACCTCTCGTTCTCGGGGAATCTTTTAACAGTAAGTGAAATGATCTTACTTGATAATTTTTTAAACTTCATATGATGCTTTTAACTATTGTAATCTGTGCTCTTCCCCTCCCCCCTCTCCTTCCCTTCCCCCTGGTTGGTATGACTTCAAGATCACATCCCAGATGTGGGAATCTCCTGTTTTTCTCTCCCTTACTCCCAATTTCAAGCACTGTTCTGTTATTTATATGCTTTGTTAACTGAACTTGTAGGGATGCAATTAATATTGTAAATGTAAAATAGTAATTGACAAGTATAAAATAACTAACAAATGTAAAATAGTAACTGACAAATGGAGTTTTCTTAAGTACCTGTACATGTATTTTAATAAGTTTTCAAATTACTAAAATAATTGTCAATAAGATGCAGCAAAAACATGAACGTATTTAAAAAATCACTTTATGTGACATAGTATATTTCAAGATTTCTGTAAGGATTTGAGATTAAATGGGCCAAGCAATTATGTAGTAAAAACTGACAAGCCAGAAATTAAATCTTGAGTTTTCTCCACTACATGGTATGATGGTGCTTATTTTGTGTTTTTTTTTTTTTCCTGATAAGGTTTTTTTCTTTTATGAAAAATAACTTTAGGTCCACCAAAGGCTTAAAGAAACTAAATCAGAATAACAATAATGACCGTGGTTTCTAATTAAAGGGTAGACTTTGTGATGTGAAAAAAGAACTGCTGTTATAAGTTTAGCTTGTTTTTGGCAACATCATCTTTGAATAAATAGGAGGCATTAATTAACTTAGCTCAGTTCTGCCGTGTGCCTGGGAGGTGAGCTCAGGAAGAGATGAAAGGGGTCAGGGGCGGTGGAGAGGGATAGGAGGAGGCATGAGGAAAAGCTGAGAGACTTGGGGTGGGTGGCACAGAAAGTAAGTGAGGGGGGCATGGAGAGAGGCTCGGACTCTAGACATGCCAGTGCAGCCATGGAGGTTCTTGCATGCAGTTTTCATTGCATGTCGTAAGCTTTTCTTTCTGTCAGTGGGTGTGAGAGAGGAACAGGAGAAAAGGAGTGAGAAAGGGTGTCTTGGGACATCACAGATTGTGTTTTTTGTTTTCCCAATTCAAGAGCTGAATATATTTGCAAAGATTATATCATGACTTTTACTACTTATAGGTGGACATCTGACAAAAACTGACTGTGGTTAATTGGTATATTTTCCTTTTCCTGTTTCCCACCCATCCTGTCCTGTCCTTCCCTTATGTTCTCTGGACCTCACTTTGGGCGCCGTCAGTCCCAGCAGCTCCGTGGAGTGACCTCTTGTATTCCCACTGCCCCACGCTTGCTGGATTATTTGTCCTCCTTCATGCCTCTCTGTCTCCGAATGTCCTGGGATCACTCTGTCACTGGGCTTCTACAACATGTGATATGGACGTCTATTTATGAGTTTGTTTTTTCTACTAGATTGTGAACTCCTTAGGAGGGGTCAACGCTTACTCATCTGGTTATCCCACATCTAATAAATGTTAGTTGAAAAAACGGATAAGTGATTTTCCCATGTCTGGTAGTAGACACACTCACCAGTGGGGCAGTGAAGTCATCCAGCTTTGATGGTTGGGAGGTCGTGACTCGAGAGGGAGACCATGTGAGCCTTCAGGAACCTGGGGTAGACTGAACATGAGTGAGGCACAGAGCCTGGTCTTGAGGTGCTGCACTGAGTAGGTGTCAGTGGTGACTCAGAAGCAAGAAACAAGTGAGATGCCGTGTGGTGAGTGTTGTAGCAGAGGCCTCCTGTACAGTCTCCCGGGAAGCATGTAATTACTTTGGCCTGGGGAGGTCTGGGAAGACTGACATTCGAGTTGAGTCTTCAAGAGTATGTATTTGCTCACCAGGTGGAGGAGAAGAAGGAGCACGTACCAAGCTGAAGAGGTATGAGGATCCTTTTTTGAGAAGTTGAGAAGGAGCTTTTGAAGTTCGTGAGAGTCGAGTGGGGGAGTGAGATCGGAATGAGCCTCGTGTATAATGCCGGTAGCTGGGCTTGCACTGGTGGCTGTGACGGACCACTGGAGCTTTGAAAATCACAGGAATGGCAGATTCACATTTTAGTGAAATGCCTGGCAACAGTGTGGAAATTAGACTGGAAGGGAATAAACTGAAGAGAATAGACTGGTTAGGAGACTAGTCCGAAGTCCAGAGGAGGGAGATGAATGCCTGATTGAGGCGTTGACAGTGGAGATGTGGAAGAGAAGACAAAGTGCAGGGTGTGATTTGGGAGGTAGACTTTGTGAGACTTGGTGCTGGAGCCACATAGAGCAGTTGTGAGCGAAATGGGAGACTAGAAAATGGCTGTGGATTTTGATACCCTCTAACCACTGGATGGGAGAGTGAAAAGGAAGCATTGGGTTTGTTTTGGACATTTGAGAGTGGGGCATACAGATGGTGATAACTAGCAGGCAGCTGGAAATGTGACTCTGAGGTTTAGGAGTGAAAGACACCGAGTGTGGAGTCAGGCATGTGAGGATGGATGAGGTTATGAAAGGAGAGCTAGTTGAACAATGAGGGAGGGCCGAGCAAAGGACCCCAGGCACGTCCACATGTAAAGGGCATACTCAGGTCCGGCTGGTGTGGCTCACTGATTGAGCATCGACCCATGTACCAAGAGGTCACGGGTTCGATTCCCGGTCAGGACACACGCCCAGGTTCTGAGCCTGATCCCCAGAGGTGGAGGGGGGGGTGGCATGCCAGAGGTGGCCATTTGATGTTCTCTGTCATCGATGTTTCTATCTCTCTCTCACTTCCTCTCTCTGTAAAATCAGTAAAGGAAAAAAAAGAAAAATAAAGGGCATACTCAGGAAAAGACTGTCTTAGAACAGATTCAGAAAAGGAAATAGTGAATATTAGATGCCACCAAGAGGTCAAATTGGGATGAGAAGTAAAATGAGGCCATTGGATGTGACCAGTCAGAGGCTCGCTCAGTGAGAATAATTGTAACGTGGTGGCATTAGAAACCTCATCTCAATGACCAAGGCAGTGGACCTTCATCAGTAGAGACCATGAGCCGTGGACCACATTCAGATGACTGTTAAGTAGAGGCAGATTACAGTTGGAAGGGAGAGGGAAGGTGACTGTTTTAGTACAGGTATGTAGGATGGTCCGAACGTGTCTGCCTGGGCGGAACAGCCGCCGTAGGAACTGAGAAGGAGCTGAGTAGGGCCACGTCGTGGGGTATGCCCAGCCCCAGGGCCTGGCTGATGTGGAAAGCCAGTTGTTTGACCAAACCGGAGAGTTTCCTGATTTTTCTCCCATAGCTCTCTGTCTAGCCTGGGAGCTGGAATAGGTAAACTACAACTTGATTATTTATTTTACTAAATAATATTTTTTTCAAAAGAATTTAGAATGAGTTTATTATTATTTTTTAAATAACAATACTTTTAGGTATTCTTTTATGTGTGGTAAAAGACACATAACATGAAATTTACCATTTTGACTGTTTTGTTTTGTTTTTTGATCCTTACCTGAGAATATTTTTTCGATATTTTGCTCAGATAGAGTGGGAGGCCGGGAGAGAGAGAGAGAAACAGCGATGTGAAAGAGACACATCGAGTGGCTGCCACCCGCACGACCCATCCAGGGCCAGGGAAACTGCAACCAAGGTACATGCCCTTAGCGGGAACCGAACCCAGGTCTCTCTGGACCTTAGGCCGACACTCTAACCGCTGAGCCAAACCGGCCAGGGCGCATTTTGACTGTTCTTAAGTGTACGGTTTTGCGGCAGTTGGTGCGTTCACATTGTTGTGCAGCCGGCACCACCGTCCAGCTGCAGAAGTTTGCATCTTCCCCAGCGGAAACCCGTCCCCTTCACACTGACGCCCCATCTCCCCTCCCCCGCCCCGGCAACCTCCAGTGTACTTAATGTCTCTGTGATCGGACTATTCTAGGAACCTGACATGAGACAAATCACGCAGTATTTGTCCTTTGTGACTGGCTCATTTCACTTAGCACCGTGTCTCCAAGCTTCACCCAGGCCGCAGCACGTGGCACAGTTTCCCTCAGTGATCTTAAAGTATGACTTAATCACACTTTTGTTCCTCAAGACACAACTGTTCCACGGGCGGTGTCAGTTCTCGAGTCCTGCCACCCTGTCCTACCCAGGGAGCGGGGAGGCAGGAGAAAGGGCCTCACGGTGACCCGCGTGGCGTTCCCAGGTGCCGGGGCGCAGTAGTTGGCGTGCTGTGCTGAGTCGTCCAGTCTTGACGGCAGCTCCGTGAGGTGGGCAGCACTCGTTCCGACAGTGAAGTCGCTTGTGCAAGGTCACAGAGCCGGCAAGCTAACCGAGCCAGGATTCGGACCTGATCATCCTGACACCAGACTCCACGCCCTTTTCATGACCTTCTCTTCTCCGGGCAGTCCGAGCTCTAACCCTGTTATTCTAAAGGAGTCCGATCTCTTCGGGTTGACCTTCATGATGATGTGCTTTTAAGGTTTTCCTGGTGGTCAACAGATGTACAAGGCTCCTCATGATATTAAAACTGTTCCGATTTTGTATTTAAGCTTTTAAGAACAGAATAAAACATTTGTCCTAAGTGGAGAATTGCTTGTGTAATTCACTGAATTCACATTGTTATTTATTTAAGGTTGTCTGGTGTTATTTGTCCAACATAGAATTTATCTGAGGTAGTTTACAGAACTGTTGATAGATTTATACCATAGATTTATAAAGGAAAAAACTTTTTCTGACTGAATTTTAATACTAATCACAAATAGGAAAGGAGTGAATTTTTAAAAACCAAAAATAGATATATGCCCTGGTGCGTATGGCTCAGTTGGTTGGGCATCATGCTGTGCACCAAAAGGATGCTGGTTTGATTCCTGGTCAGGGCACGTGCCTGTGTTGCAGACTTGATCCCCAGTAGGGGTCGTGCAGGAGGCAGCCAGTGGGTGGTCCGTATCACATCAATATTTCTCTTTCTCCTTCTTCCTAAAAATCAATTTAAAAAATTAAATAAAACAGCCCTGGCCGGTTTGGCTCAGTGATTGGAGTGTCGGC